TGTTTTTAAAAACAAACCCCAAATCTCAAATGGGGAAGGCGAATATTAAAAAAGAGAGAGAGAGAGATCACAGATTTTCCATCTAATATAACTAAATACCTCACTTTCATTGTACAACGTATATTCAATTACAATTAATATTTCTTTCTTTTCAATAAACCTAATTCCCTTACATTCTTGATTGTCTGTTCAATAACAGCATACCTTTATATAATCACAGATCCCAATACGAAAGAGATTTACCAACCATTTATATTTGTAGATCACTGTTTTTCATCGCAATTGAACATATGTTGTACAATGAAAGCGAGGTATCTGTTCATATCAGGTGGAAAATCTGAGATTGTAAATGCAATTGAGAATATGGACGCAAAAACGCTTGTAACCAAACGACATGCTGTATGTAATGAATTTTTTTTTAATATTCTTTTTTTTTCTTATTATTTTTATGTTTAAAAATAAAAAACATTGCAAAAAAAAGAGAGAGAGAGCAAAATCTGGTGAAAGAGATGCGCTGTAGAGGAACACAATAGCCAAGAGTTGGAAGGGACCTTGGAGGCCTTCTAGTCCAGCCCCCCCCTGCTCAAGCAGGAGATCCTATACCATTCCAGACCAGTTCCTGTCCAGTCTCTTCTTAAAAGCCTCCAGTGATGGACCCCTTACGAGTTCTGGAGGCAACTTCTGTCCCACTGGTGAATTGTCCTCCCTGTTAGGAAGTTACTCCTTCATCCCAGGCTATTTCTCTCCTTGATTAGTTTCCATTGATGGTTTCTTGTCCTGCCTTCAGGTGCTTTGAAAAATAAGTTGACCTTCCCCCCCCCCCCCGCCCCTTCCTCTTTGTAGCAACCTCTCAAATACTGGAACCCTGCTACCATCTCAACCTAGACCTTCTTTTCTGGAGACAGGCCATAACCAATTCCTCTAACCCAGGGGTCGGCAACCTTAAACACTCAGGCCCACAAAGGTCCTAACAGGAAGCCCCCTGGAAGCCGACCAGAAGTCACCATAGAGTCTCCTCCTAGTGTGGTGTCCTTTTCCCTCTACCCGTCCTAACCACAAACCCTATCAATTGTGAGCTGACCGGAGACAGGGAGACGCAGTAGAGAGACGAAAGAGCCACAGGTTGCCGACCCCCCCCTGCTCTAACCCTTCTTCATATGTTTTGTCTCCGGGCCCTTAATCGTCTTAGTTGCCCTTCTCTGCACTTATTCCAGAGTCCCCACCTCTTTTTTGTAATGTGGTGACCAAAATTGGATGCAGTAGTCCAGGTGTGCTCTTACCAAGATCTTATTAACCTGGCATTAACACTTCGCACAGTGTAACGGGAAGAAGAGGGGAGGAGTGGGGGGAGAGGAAAGGGGAAGAAGAAAAGGGAAAGAAGAGGAGGAAAGGAGAAAGTTAGAGAAGAAGGTAGGGAAGGAAAAAAGAGGGAAGGAGAAGTAGGGTCCTCGTAAAAGAAGATGGATGGATGGGATGGCAGGAAAGCAATCTCGATTATATTTTTTAATTTTAGGAGGGGAAATGAAAATGTCAAAAGAATACACATTAATATTAATAGTAGCTATGAGATTGTATATTTGTGAATGTATGTATGAGAAATAAAACTAAAAAGCTTTGAGGAAGAAAAAAACCACTTCACACAGTGTGTCTCAAGGCTAAGAGTGCCTTGCTGGTCTCTCTCTCTGTCTCTCTACTCTGTCTGTGTGTGTGTCTCCTCTCTCTGTCTCTGACTGTCTCTCTCTCTCTCCTCTCTCTGTCTCTCTCCTCTCTCTGTCTCTGTCTCCTCTCTCTGTCTCTGTCTCCTCTCTCTCTCTCTGTCTCTCTCTCTCTGTCTCCTCTCTCTCTCCTCTCTCTGTCTCTCTGTCTCCTCTCTGTCTGTCTCTGTCCTCTCTCTGTCTCTGTCTGTCTCCTCTCTATCTGTATCTCTATCTGTCTCTCTCTCCGTCTCTCTCTCCTCTCTCTGTCTGTCTCCTCTGTCTCCTCTCTGTCTCTGTCTCTCTGTCTGTCTCCTCTCTCTATCTCTCTGTCTCTCTCCTGTCTGTCTCCTCTCTCTCTGTCTCTCTCTCATCTCTGTCTCCTCTCTCTCTCTCTCTCTCTCTCCTCTCTCTGTCTGTCTCCTCTCTCTCTGTCTGTCTCTGTCCTCTCTCTGTCTCTCTGTCTGTCTCCTCTCTCTCTTATCTGTCTCTCTGTCTCCTCTCTCTCTGTCTGTCTCTGTCCTCTCTCTGTCTCTCTGTCTGTCTCCTCTCTGTCTCTCTATCTGTCTCTCTCCCCTCTCTGTCTCTGTCTCTCTGTCTGTCTCTGTCTCCTCTCTGTCTCTGTCTCCTCTCTCTCTCTCTCTCTCTCCTGTATGTCTCCTCTCTCTCTCTGTCTCTCTCTCATCTCTCTCTCCTATCTGTCTGTCTCCACTCTCTCTCTCTCCTCTCTCTCTGTCTCTCTCTCTGTCTCTCCCTCCTCTCTGTCTGTCTCTCTCTCTCATCTCTCTCTGTTTCCTGTCTCCGTCTCTCTCCTCTCTGTCTGTCTCCTCTCTCTCTGTCTGTCTCCTCTCTCTCTCTGTCTCCTCTCTCTCTCTCTCCTCTGTCTCTCCTCTCTCTGTCTCTTTGTGTGTCTGTGTGTGTGTCTTTCTGTGTCTCTTTTTTCTCTGTCTCTGTCTGTCTGTCTCTCTCTCCCTCTCTCCGCCATCTCCTTTGCCCTTTTAGGACTTTTGGCACATGGGGGGAACAGCCTTATGCTGCCTTTTGTATCCCTTATGGTTTCCTTTTCATTGCAGGAAAGACCTGGCCGCTCGCTTTCGGCTCAGGGATGGGGCTCGGAATGGCGTATTCAAATTGCCAACACGACTTCCAGGCTCCTTACCTTCTCCACGGGAGATTCATCAAGGTGAGTCTTCACCAAAGGACGTCTGCCTGGCGCAAGAGGCTGGCCTCCCCCTAACTCTGTCAAGCGCATCCTTGGAAACGGAAGCCGCCTGCTTCATTCAGTCCTCCGGCCATGCCCACCTGGGGAATCCCTTGCCGCGTCTCCGATGCCTTTATCAACTCCGTCACCCAGGTTTACCTGCAGCAGGAGACGAGGAAAGGGAGTGAAGCTGGGGCCCGAATACATCCAACGCAGATGGTCCAGCAACCCTCGTCCCCCCGGAGGGGGGGGTAACAGCACACCCATCCCGTTTCCATCTTTCCCTCCAATTTGTCGTCACGAGAAAAAGCGGCTGGTTTCTATTGTCTGCCGAGCGGGATTTTTGGAGATAAAAGATGCAAACTCGGGAGTGGAAGTGGGAGGTCTGCAGTCTGGAAACTGAGAAACGGCTTCGGGGAGGTGGGGGGAGGGCACTTCCCTTCCTCCCCTTAGCCTGGCTTCCCCTTTTATTGATCCAATCCTTCCCTCTCTTCGCCACCTCGGGCTTCATTGTTCCTTGCCTGCCTGCCCCTAATTAATTTTTCTTCCCCCCCCCCCCACCTCCCGCGCACTGGGGGGACCTTTCCCTGCTCCCTGCTTTCCCTTCTGGCATCCCGAGACATCTGTGGGGCAGCTGAGTAGGGAAGATGGGAAGGGGGCAGGAGGGGGAGAGCGTCCCCCCCCCCCCCGCCTGGGATTTGGGGATGGGGAGGCTTTGTAAAGAGGGCGCTGGGCTCAGGGACTGATGGGCTCTGCTCTCAACTGGCTTTGCCCTGTTTTTTGCCTCCCCACCCCCCAAGAGGCAGGAAAGGGTCTTGGTCCGAGGGAAACCACCTCTGGAGACCCTCCACCATGTCATAAAACAGGGATGGCGAAGCTTTTCGGCACCAAGTGCCCAAATCGGAATGTGGGTGCATGTGCATGCGCCGAAGTGCCAGAAACACAAAGACCAGCTGGCTGGCGCATGCACATGCCTGTTTTTTGGCCATTTTTATTTTTTTTAGCTTTTTCATGCCATTTTCCAGGCTGTTTTCAGGCCATTTTTATGCTGTTTTCAGGCCATTTTCCAGGCTGTTTGCAGGCCATTTTGGGCCATTTTCAGCCCATTTTCAGGTTATTTGGGGGGCATTTTTGGACTATTTTCAGGCCATTTTGGGGCCATTTTAAAGGCCATTTTGGCCCATTTTCAGGTTATTTTGGGGCCATTTTTGGACTGTTTTCAGGCCATTTTGGACTGTTTTCAAGCCATTTTTGGGCCATTTTAAAGGCCATTTTGGGTCCATTTTCAGGTTATTCTGGGGTCATTTTTGGACTCTTTTCAGGCCATTTAGGGCCATTTTCGGCCCATTTCCAAGTTATTTTGGGGTCATTTTTGGACTCTTTTCAGGCCACTTTTGTCCCCAAACCAGCTGGAAAACGTCCTGCGAAACAGACTATTTTTGGGGCGTTTCCAGGCGATTTTTCGTCACCCACGAAGACCAGTGCCGGAAACCAAAAGAACAGCTGGGCACGGCGTGTGGGCCCACCAAGAGGGCTCCTCCACCTGCCACCTCTGGCAGACGTCCCATGGGTTTGCCCTCATGGCCATAAAGCAAGGCTGTTTGAGGGGGGATCTTTGCAGGTGTGACGTGGGTTGTGTTTCCTCCACAGGAGCAGTGATGGCGCCCGGACCTTTCTGTGGCAGATCAACGGAGGGACCCCTCGGCCTCCTTCTCTGTGGGGAGACGGGCACCCTGGAGGCCCATGGACTTTCCGGCTGCCCCTTTGGGGAGGGGGCAGCCGCCCACCGTCATGCCTCCAAGCAGACCTTGATTTTGTATCTTCTTCTCGGGGAGCAGCAGGGAACGGCGCCCTTCTGGGGAAGGCAATAAAACTGGCAAAGCATTTGTCGTCTTCGGTGTGTGTTGTGTGCGCAAGAGCCCCTCTCCGCCCACTCCCTGTTGCCTTTGTGTGTCAAACCAAAATGTGTGGGAAGAAGAAATTCCCGTTTGAACTCGCAGCTGCAACCACCTGCCTGCGACCTCCTTTGAAAGCCTCCCCCCCCCCTCCGTGCCGCCCCCCCCCCCAGCTGCCCCTCTCAATTCCTCTCCCTCCTTCCAAGTT